CCGTGGCCTTGGTGTTATCAGCACCGCACTCTCCCGAGTGAGCCACGGGCCGGCCCTCTGGACCCCATATTTTAGACTGCCCTACTGTGGTCCTCCTCTGGCTATAGCCCTTACCATGAGATGAAATCTAGGGGCCACCTGGAGTTTGCATTGCCTCTTCTAGATCATGTCCCAGGTCCCCAGGACTCTGGAATCCCCTGTCCTAATAGTCATGAGTCAAGACCAGCATTGGCTTCTTCCCCAGGTCTGTCTTTAGCCTTGGCTTTGGCCTGAAGGACGGTCAAAGGGGGATTACAGGATATGTGGGTGGAACTTGAACATGTGGGCTGGGAGGATCCACACACATGTAAACAAGGCCTCTGGTGATATAAAATGGAGTATAGAGCAGAAGAGAACTGGTACAGGTAAAAAGTGTGAGAATATGAGCATAATAACTGAAATTAAAATCTCAATGGATACATTAAGCAGTAGGTTAGATACTGTGGAAAAGAGAAACAATGAACTAAGAGATAAGTATAAATGAATTATCTGATTGGATGGAGTGTGGTGCTGATAACACCAAGGTTAAGAATTCAATCCCTGTACCAACCAGCTGCCAGAAAAAAAAATCTTGAATGTGGAGACTAAGAAATGGAAAATCCAAATAAGAGTTAAAAAAAATGGAGGATGGAGTCGAGGTGGTTTGGAGTTCCAGAAAGAGATAATAGAATGGAAAGATACTCTACTTTTCCCAGTACCAGCCAGCCACCAGCCCAAACCAAAACCAAACCAAAGATACTATATTTGAAGTGACAGTTGTTAAAACTTTTCTAAAATCATTGAGAGATACCTATCCTTAGATCCAGGATTCCCAAAGAATCCTTTGGAAGATAAAATATGAAAATAAAACCTATATATATAATAAAAATAGAGACAAAGAAGATCTTAAAAGCATCCAGAAAAAAAAAAAAATGATCATCTACAGAAAGAAGAGCTAGATGGTTAATTTCTTAACCACAGCAACAAAACAGAAACCAAAAACAATGGAATAGGACCTATGATGTGCTGACAAAAATCTATACATGGTGAAACTACCTTTCAAAAATGAGGATGAAAAAAAGGCATTTTCAGACAAACAAAAACTGGGAGAGTTTACCACTAACACATTATCACTAAGTGCAGAAGGAAAATGATCCCAGCTGGAATATCTGGGTTGCAAAAAGTAATGGTAGGCAAAGAGTTTGGCAAACATGAGAGCAAATATAAGCAAATGTCTTATAAAACAATAACTGATTTTTTATTAGAAAGGTATATGATCTTATATAAAATACAGAAAATGAATGCAATAAAATTCAGTATCTGTTCATGGAGGGGAAAGCATAGCGAATTAGAAAAAGAAAGGAATTTCCTTAACCTGATAAAGGACATTGACAAATTCCTACAGTAAACATCCTCCTTGGATGTTATGTTAAAATCTTAAAAGAATTCTCTTTAGGATCAGAAACATGACAAGGATGTCCATTTTCATCGCCCCTCTTCAACAAGGTCTGGAGGTCCTTACCAGTACAGTAACATAAGAAAAAGAATTAAAGCCATTATTATTTTGAGTAGTATGATAGTCTATGTAGGAAACCTCAAAGAATTTACAGATAAATCATTAGAATTTATTGTAGTTTAGCAAATATGGGCTGGCTGTTTAGCTCACTTGGGAAAGCATGGTGCTGGTAACATGAAGGTGATGGGTTCAGATCTCCGTACTGGCCAGTCACCAAAAAAAAAAAAAAAAAAGTTTAACAAATATGCTGACAAATATTTTATTAATAAATAAAAGTCAACTGCACTTAATACATTTTATTCCAACAGACTGTTACATGGTGATATAGTTTGGATATGTTTGCCTCTCCAAAACTCATGTTGAAATTAGATTCCCAATGTGGCAGTGGAGATGGGGCCTAGTGGGAGGTGTTTGGGACATGAGGCGGATCCCTCATGAACAGATTAATGCCCTCCCTGGGGTGTGTGTGTGTGTGTGTGTGTGTGTGTGTGTGTTCTAGCTCTATTAGGTCCCAAGAGAGCTGGTTGTTAAAAAGTGCCTCTCTCTCTCTGTCTTCCCCTCTCTCTCTCACCATGTGATATCCTTGCACATGCCAGCTGCCCTTCCATTCTGTTACAAGTAGAAGCAGCCTAAGGCCTAAACCAAATGCAACTGTTCCAGAATTGTGAGCCAAATAAGCCTCTTTTCTTTATAAATTATCCAGTCTCAGGTATTGTGTTATAGCAATACAAAAAATGGACTAATATACATGGTGTTTGATAAATCTGACTTCATTAAAACTTAAGAATTTCTGTCCATCAAAAGGTACTGTAAGGAGGGAGAAAATACAAGCCCCAAACTGGGAGAAATTATTTGTAACACATATGTCTGACAAATGTTTAGTATACAGAATATATAAGGTGTGCCTATAAATCAGTAAGAAAATTACCAAAAAACACCCCACAAAAAACAATAGAAAAATGAAAAAGACTTGAACAAGGCATTTAACATAAGACTAAACAGAAATAGCCCATAAGCATGTGAAAAGATACCCATCCCCATTAGTAATAGAGAAATAAAAACTAAAACCACAATAAGATACCTTTTCTCAACGATGAGATTAGCCAAAAATTAGGAAGATGGACAGTACCAAGGGATGGTGAAGTTGTAGAGGAATAAAGATTCTTACGCACTCCTGGTGGGAGTGTAAATTGGTACTATCATATTGCCAGTAATTTTAGTTCTGACTGTGTGTCCTGGAGAATCTTCACACAAGTGGATGAGTATAGACGAATGCAAAAATGTTTACAGTGTTATGGTCTGAAATAGCAAATAACTATTATTTTCTAAATGTCTCTTAACACTAGAATGCATATCTGAGACATTATATTCATATGGTGGAACACCATATAGTAATAAAATGAACTCAGTTAAATGTATCAAGATGCATTCATCTCAAAAGCATGATGCTGAACAAAAGCAGCAAGTCACAGAATACATATCCTATGATTCCATTTATATAAAATTGGAAAACAGTAAAAACAAAACCATATCTTGCATAGGAATAGAGATATATGTGATAAAACCACAGAGAGAAATAAGGGAATAATTACAAAATCCAGGATGGGGTGTGTGTGGGGTGGGGGAGGAAGGCAATCGGGGAGAAGCACTGGAACTGGCAATGTTCTATTTCCTATCCCAGGTGGCTGAGTTCACAGATCTTCATTTTACTGCAATTCTTTAAATATTACATATATATCGTGTACATATCCTTTGCGTGCATATGTCAAAATAAAAAGTGTTCAACGCAACACAGAGTGGGGAAAAGGTGATTAGGTTATGGAAATCATGAGTATCATCGACAGGACCAATGTGAACAAAACCAAATGTTGTAACGTTACACAAATGGTAATTTACGACTTGGGTAAAATTTCCAATGTTTTCATCATACATGGATTCAAAAGGTGCTGTAACGAAGGTGGTGTACTCTGGAAAACTGTTAGACAACTCAAAAAGTGGCTCTGCTAATTACAAATACAATGATATTGAAGATACATGAAAAGGAATTCTTTAAAATATTTTTTTCAGAAATTACAGTGAAAAAAGTACTTTAAAATTAGCATTATTTTATAGGTGATTTTAACTATATATGTGTGATTGATTAATCTATAGTTAAATCATGCAAATGGACATTTATTTCCTCTATATTTATAAAAATATGTGTATATTCAAGTTGGCCAAAAAGCTTCGTTTCCAATCATCATGTTGGGATTGAGGGGTTATATCTGGCACATACCATTAATGTTCGTGTCAGGATGGAAAAGGTTTTACCTGGAATGAATTTTTGCCATTTCTGATCCACATTGTACTTCACACAGTGATTTCCTGAAGGAAATATAACGATCTGCTCATCGAAGAAGAAGATATTGTTGGCCACGTGGGATCGGAGACCAAAAACATGCAGCCACTGAGCTACGACGGTCGACATGGTCCCCTGCCAAAGAGTTCTGCTAAAGACCGAGCGTGGTCGGTGAGCGTGGAAAAGCGCATTGCCCCGCCCCGCCCCGCCCCCCGCCC